TTCCCTTCCCTTCCCTTCCCTTCCCTTCCCTTCCCTTCCCCCAGTTATACAATAGCCAAGAAAAAGCAAAAAAGGTCTTAAGTATGGAAAACCCAACCAAAAAAAGAGAACTTATTTAAGCCAAGGTGCAAGAAAAGAATTACCCACCATGGTCATTAAGGACTTCTTGGTTTCCAGGATAGGGAGTGTTCACCTTCAGACAAAGAAATTGATTAAAAATTATCCACAATATTAAACAATGGAAATGCATTACTTAATGTGACTGAAAAGCCTGGCAAGTTTGCATGCTAGTAAATATTATAACAACACTCTGGGATTATCTCCAGTTTGACAGGGTCTGAGCATTAGCTGATCAAGTTTTTATGAGGATTATGCTCTCTTTGACATGCAACATGCTTTCAGCAAAAGAGTAACATCATGCATTTTGGAGGCATCAGCAAATCCTACTCTCAGTTGTGCCAGCGAAGCATCAGAAAACTCATTCTTCAAGAACAATTCTGAATTTACAACACTGTGTTTGGGAGCAGGATTTGATTTTTGACTGTGAGATAACAGCTTGTGTTTATAATTCTTTTCATCAGACCAGGGCTGTGTTATGTCTGATGTCAACCTGTGCTCCAGATGCTTTGAGACCACAATGAGGAGACAGAAGCTATTTTAGTCTACCCTCTTCTGACACCAGCTACCTGTAACAGTGGGCATGCTGCCTGCCTCTGTGCCTGTCTTCAAAATAGGGACAGTGCAGGCACTGAAATGTGGCACAGTGCTTGGAAATCTTGGTACCTTCTACTACTATTTGTAGGAAACTAAGCAAGTGTATGAATAAATGGAAGTTGCTGCAGCTGGCTAATCCTATAGTATTAGCCTGCAGAAATCTTACTCACATGGATAGCTCCATTACCTTCAGAAGTTCAGTCCCCATGAAGAAAACTGGTGGGGTTCAGTCTGTAGTTCTTTATCGACACTCATTTATGTAGGCATGAACAGCAGACTTCTTATCTATAAACCTGGATAGGTTTAGGAGATTACTCACAAATGTAGGACAAATCTATCTAGCACACTCAGGTGCATGAAGAGAGGTTTACAAGTACATGTTTCTGTTTCTTGTGCATGTAGAAGTTAGTGCTATTTTTCACACATTGTAACCTTCCTGAAAAGTGGCTATTATTATCTGAAATTCGGAGGAAATAGGCTTGTTTTGTTTGAATCATTCCACAGAGAATTTCAAAGAGGTAAAAAAATGATGTGTGGAGGTGGTAGGCCAAAACTGTAGAAATGGCAGATTACCATAGAGAAATGACTATTTATCATTAATTCCCAAAAAGATCACAAGCTGGGATACAACTTTCTTCAGCAGTGGGATTAGGGTGATGATGAGTATCAATGCATCTAGCATAGAGGGAGTCAAGGGCTGTTTCTCTAAAATAAGTGAAAAGGAACTGGAATGCAAATTGGAGGAGAGGGCACAGTATTATTCAGAACTATACTGTTTAACAGGAGAGCAGAACCACCAGCTTGAACCCTACACAATTCAGAGGTGGACTGTGGCTCCCAAAGACAGAGTCCTTTCCAGGTACATCCCCCCCAGATTAACCGTAGCATATTGCCCTAGGGAAAACTTCCAGGACTGAACTATGTTCATCATTCATTCTAGAATGCAATTTCTGTAATTCAGTAAACAAAAATTGAATTAGGTTGTTCTGAAAATATGAAATCCATCTCCTTTCTTTTCATACTATGTGTGAAACTGCAGGTCCTTTGAAGGTAATGAAGGCTTTGTCATACTCTTTGAAAAGCAGGGGCAGGTCTTCACCTGCTGCCATCCTATGTGAAAAGATTGCATTTGAGGGTCAAATAAATAACATGATCTTTCTTTTCTAATGCATTTTTCATGCCACAATGAAATACATAACAAATCTTATTTTGGACATGGAAATTAAAAACAGCTGAAGACATAACAACATGGGGACTGTATTTATACATCTAAAAAATATGTGTACCTGTATGCATACACATTCAGGTCCGCAGAGCAACTCCTAAACTATGGAAACACAAGCTTTGAAAGGCATTAAAAGTATTAGAAAAAACAAGTAATCAAAATGTTTTAAGCAAGAGTCTAGTGTTTCTAGTTCTGTTATATATTTTATACATGGCTAAGTTTTCATCTATGGCTAAACACTTGAAAATCTGTTATCCTGAAGAACAAATAAAACACATCCCTGGTGCAAAGCAGAAGGCAGGGGGAGGAAAGCTGCAAGGTTATGGTGTTTAGGTGTACAGCTGCTTTGGTTATGTTCTGTCGTGGCCATGCATCCTGCTAAGAGCAGATTCCGCATGTGTGACTTACTGGCATTTTGCAATGAGGCCTGGGAGGGACTGGGAAAACTGTCTATTGAAAACAGGAGGGAAATTGTTTTAATGAGCAAAGGTATGATACAGCATGTAACTCACCATATAGATCTAACAGCCACGATGAGGCTGGACACAAAACCACCACCTCCCTAGAAGAATGCCCAGCTGGCTGCCAGGTCTGCCATCATGTCCCTCTCTGTGAGGCCATGGGGACAAAACTCTTCCATGACAGTGGCCTTATGGTTATGATTTATGATGATTTTTTTCTTTGCACACAACCAAGGTCACTCACAGTGAACTGTGTTGGCTGAAACCAGTTTTAATGTATCCTTTTGCAATCTGCTGCTAGAGCAGCACAATTCTGCTACAAACCAGTTCCCAGCTGTACTTACTCCTTTGATATAAAGTATGCGTCCTGGAGGTCCAGGGGGACCTGGGGGCCCAGGCAAGCCAGGCAGGCCCTGGTAAGAGAAAGTGAAAGAAGGAAGATATTAGGCAAAAAATAAACCCCAACTGCAAACTGCAACACCTCAAGCACTGCATACTGAAATTAAAATAAAGACAGTGTATCTCTCATGCAAGGAAAGCTAGGTATTCTGCACTGATCTGGCTCTCTCAAGTCTACTAAAATTCATAAATTTTCAAGTGTCAGGCCGATATGTGCATGCTAATTAGCAACCTGAGGAACCCTGCTAGA